TTAAAAAAGTTCAAAGTAGTTTTTGAGGGATTTTGAATGCTCGTATATTCCAAGAATTTGAAAAATTCTAGGATTCTTTGAGAAGGTCTATAAAAATAGACGAGTGTTGAGGGGATAAGGCGGAAGGTATTCCAGCATGTTAGGCCCTAAATTAAGGTTCTTAAAGGTTTTTAAAAAATGTTCAAAGTGGTTTTTAGGAATGTTGAATGCTCGCAATGTCGGAGAATTTAGAAAATTCTAGGATTAGAAGGTATAGAATAATAGATGAGTCGCGGAGGTACGTAAAAGGGTTTAAGAGTTGTTGAAATTTTGCCTAAGGTGGCTAAGTCTTTTAGAACTAGTAGAATGAGGGTTTTCGAATGTTTACGGGTGTTTGGATGTTCCGAAATTTTGAAAACCTTTAGATTTTTTCAGAGTCTAGCGAAATAGGTGAATAATATAATAAATAGGTGTCTGGAAAAAATCGAAAACCTTTAAAATGTGAAAGTAGTTTGCTTGAGTGGTTGAAAAACTTTTAAAATAGAAATCAGATAGGTTTTCGAGTACCTAGAAGACATTAAACGTTACGAAAATTTTAAAAAAATTTCAAATTTTTCCAAAAAATCGTAAGAGTCATGAGAGTATTAAGTAGATAAGCGGATGCAATTAAGGATGCGTCAGAGGCTTTAGTGAGGTTTTTAAAACCTGAGGTCAATGTCAAACAGGTTTTCTAATAATCGAGATATTTTCAAAAATTTTTCCTAGATTCAAAAGTGATTTCGATGTGATGTTACAGTTATGAAATTTTGAGTCTAATTTATTCTTAACAGACTTACAATATAGCGAATCTTCAGGCATTATTTTGGGGTTTGTTTGTGACTTTTTTCTATTTTTCCATCTTGGTGGGTGCGCAATTTTTAAATTTTTTCTGGAATTATGGAGAGTGGACGTGGAGGTGTTGGTCTTATGGAACTATTATTAGAACAATGTTTTATTGAGGCCCTGGAGTTTCTGGTTTTCGGATTTTCAATAAATTTTCTTTTTGAGGTGGTACAAATGAACAAGGTTAATGCTTGCTTTCGATATGCCTCATTTTTGGATGAAGTAAGCTTCAGGGCACATAGTTGAGACGAAATGTGCTGAAAAATTTGATAGTAGTTGTTCGATCGCATGTTTAATATAAATTTATTGCCGACTTGCAGTTTGATGTGAGATCATAAGAGGTAAATATGAAAGTGAGACTCAGTTTGGTACAATGTATAACACACTAAAGACAGCCATATGATACAAATAAGATATCAAACAGCTTCTAATACAAACAACTACCTAGTGTGCAGGTTGCAAGGCACGCGTACTTATGAGACTGCTTATTTTGCAAGAGCTGCGTAATTTGTTCATGAAGCTTAGGTTACGGCTTATCGTCTCCCACGGATCTATTGTTAGTGATGGAAAATGACGGGTATATGTGCCAGCTTCTAACAACTCCAAGTGCAATGGCATTTCGTTAGCTCTGGCTTCCGCCTGACATTCCTACAAACAAAACCATACGAAATCCTTCATAAGCAATGCATGCGATCCAGCTTACCACTGCGTAAACTTCTTCGCCCACAACTGCTACGCAGTAGTCGTAACGATGACCGCTTTACTCAAGATGGCGTGCGCCCAACAAAATAACCAGCGGTTTTTTATTTATTTTTTACCTTATTTAACTATAAAGTGGACATCCAAATGACTCTAGACGAGGAGGATCAATAATTTCAGCGGTCGACCAAAATCTTGTACGTCTTTCGAAAACGATACTCCCTGTTTGGGGGGCCAGCGAGCCCGCCTGCAAAGGCTAGCTGGCCATAACCCAGAGAGAAAAATAAAGGTTTTAAAGGTTTTCGAAAGGACAATAACACATGAAAAGAAGGGAAGAGTACAATAAAACCCTCGGAAGAGGGGAATGATCACCAAGAAAAAAAGTCGAATTCACCACAGGAAGAAAACTGTAACAAAGAAAAAGGATAATTCGAGAGAGTTGCAATACAAAATGGTAGAGAATCACTGGAGGTAGATACGTTTTTTTTTCTTGATTCTTGATTCGGGGAACAGAAATAAAAACATCAAACATAACGAAAAATGGCCTGAACATGTGTCCTCTAGTGTAATTGTTGAAATTCGATAGACTTAAAAAATCTTGCGGTTCCAATTCAATCCTATTGGTCATTATTTTGAAGATAAGGTTTTGGTCATAAAGGGTTCTTCTGAACGCAAGAGTAGTAGTGGCTAGAATAGAGAGCCTAGATTTGTATGACAATCGGAATATTCCAGCTCGGGCAAAAAGTCTGACAGTGAACGATCTCTGGACTCTTTCAATAATTTCCGTAAGGGTTTTCTCAGAGGGAGACCATAGTGGAGTGCAATATTCCAAAAGAGGACGAACATAGATGACGAAAAGGCGAAAGAGAATTTTTACACTAGTAGTTTTGAACCCACGAAGGATGTAATTGCACCTGGCGTGAGCGGCAACGGCAATATCTCGTATGTACTTCTCAAACTTCAGGCTGTCAGAGTAGGTCACACCAAGGTCCCTGGCACTGCTAACTGTTTGAAGCTCATGTGTCCCAATACGAAAGGAACACTAAAGATGTGCACGTCCAATAGCCATGATAAAGGTTTTTTCCGCGGAAATGTCCTCCCATTTGTCGGACCACCTCTCTATCGCATCCAAGGCGCGCTGCATTAGACCAGGGTCGTCGTAGCAGTAAAGTTTTGTATCATCAGCATATATAGAGCAATGTACATCATGGGGAATGCATGACGGCAGATCGTTGATGTAAAGCAAAAACATCAAAGGCCCCAAGCAAGTACCCTGCGGTACACCACTTGCTGTTGTATAGATTGAAGAAAACGATTCGTTGACCCGCACTCTTTGCGTACGCTCAAGCAGGAATGCTTTGAGGAATCGCAATAAACAGCCTTCAATGCCGTAAGCCTCTAATTTTTTAAAGAGAAGAGATAAGGGCACGGAGTCAAAGGCTTTCTTATAATCTATATAGCAGACTGTTACAACTCTTTTTTCATTGACTGATCTCTGCCACAAGGGTGCCGTTGACATTGAAGCTGATAATGTAGATCTTTTGGGTAGAAATCCATGTTGTGCTTTGTGCACAAGATGGTTTCTAGTAAGAAATTCGCAAATCTGTTTACAAATTATTCTTTCAAAGACTTTGCTCACTGATGATGTTAAACAGATCGGCCTATAATTTCCGGCCTCAGCCTTGCAGCTCTTTTTGAAAATTGGCTTAACAATTGCAGTGCGCCATAAGGCAGGGGCTTCTGCACGAAGAAGAAATCTTTGAAATACCAAAGCTAGTACTGGAGCTATACCTAAAGATGCTTTCCTAAGAAAAATATATGGGAGTTTATCAGGGGATGTGGATCTTCTAAGGGGGAGTCGCCTCAAAACTTAATATACTGTATCAGTGGTGATATCCAAATAATCAATCTTTGCATTTGTAAAACGTGGACAATCACCATTCGAGGCTGTTGGGTCCTTATAAACGGATTTGAAAAATTCGGCGAATCTCTCAGCTTTCTCCATATCAGAAGCGCAGGGCTGCCCGGTTGAGTCGTATATAGTGCCAATGCTATTTGACACCCTCAAATTTTGATTGCAAAAGCGAAAGAACGCTCGCACATTTCGGCTGTCGGCAATTTTACCTTCTTCTATGAGTCTGCAGCGGTATAATTCACGTTCGAGTTTTTTTTGAGAACCTTTGATATTTTTGGATACCAATTCTGCTTCTTGCACGGTAAAGCCTGGAGAAGAATAAGAACAATCGATTTCATGTGTTTGAAAGCAGCTTCCGTCGCTATTTGTAGCAACTGCGCCAAAGGAGATGCAACCTTTACCAGAAACATGGCAGGGTCCGGAAACACATCCTGTATACATCGATGTAATGTCATATCCAAACCTGGGTAAAAGTGCATACTTACACTTTTAGTGAAAACAGTCCGTCTGCTCATTGCAAACGCAACTCTCGTCAGCAGGAATTCTTTCCAGCAGCAAACCTACTGCGCGCGCTTTCTGTGTCACCAGAAATAGAAGTTCTCTAATGTCGAATTCAGGCCTTTCATGTAAGCTAAGATCCTCCTCTGAGAGAGACCGCTCAAAATTCCACACTTTTTGTAAAAGGATGCTGCGTCTTGCCGATTGTAAAAATGAATACGGAGCTGTGTGAATCAGTGTGCATACAAAAATTATCAATGGAACAAAATATATAAATAACGAATATTCACCTTTTGCTGCAGCCGGATCGCACACTTGACATAAGCACGGATAATTGTCTGGAAAGCTAGGTACAGTCGGTTTCATCCCGGATTAGGCGAGACAATCTGCGTGGAGCAGCGCATGCGCATCGCTGGAGGCTTCGCGAGCGCATAGCGCTGGCATTTTGCCAAGCAAAGACTAAGGAGATTGAAGAGACACAGGCATGGGTTCTCAGCACGATAGGATATATTGTAGCTGCTAAACGGCGCGAGCTGTTGCAAGGCGGACTCCCGCCAGTCCAATTTCCGCCTAAAGCGGGTCGAAACTTACTGTATGTTTGGATTTCTCTCCCTTCTCCCATAGTTCCACAGTAACTGCTCACCAGCCTGTAAAATTTTCATTGCGCAGAACTTTTCATTATGTATGAGATGATTTTGCTCAACCTTACCTTGATATCGCTTTGGCTACCAAACAATGCAACCATCGAACACGACGTTCGCCAAAGCGAATACAACGTAGGTCTAGGTTTGCATGCTCTATCGACTGGTTGATAAGTCGACCAAGCGTTACTGTTGCCTTGTATGAGTCGCAATGTGCAAGTACGATAAAATCTCTACCGCTTCTTCTAAATTCATGCCAATACTTTATCACTTTATGGCGTTGCTTTTCATTAAGTTTAATCAGAAATTTTTTTACGTCTTCCGCCAGTCCTTGATAGCCACTAGATACAAACAATATTATCGTTAAATTAAAAGTCTCTCTTATTTCAGGTCCTTTTCTTACGATAATCAGCAACCGCCATTTCTTTAGCGATATCTACTCTGGCGTAAACACTTCGTCCATTGATGGTAGGCATCTCACGCACCTCAAGCCACGGAAAGTCCTTAAACATGCTGTCGTTTCCACTAAACAAATGAATTCACAACCTGTGCAGGCTGTGCATGACATCGACGTAGGAAATGATTCTGCTGGGGTACAATCTCGATCTTTGTCAAACCACCCGTGTAAGGTGTTTCACAGCTTCCAGCTATTTCGTATCGCAAACTTGGATCGAGAGGCTCAAACCGTCCTTCGAGATCGGAAATAGTGTATCTGGTGGTGTCAGCTACATCACGGATGGCACGGACGGCTTCACTCGTAGTCGTTCTTGTCACGTCACTCATCATAGGCTCTGTACTTGCTTCGCTAATTTTCGCCGTAATTTTGAAATTCAGTTTACTGATTTTTTTTCTTTCTCTTTTTCTTCTTCTTTGTGGTCTTCATCTTTTATAACGATACGATATACTGCACCAGTCCCTCGTCGTTGTCCATTGGAGGTCGTTCGAATTGCTTGAGTGATGTAAACGACGATGCTTGCAGTACCAACGACACTATGTCACCTTCTTCCGAGCTGACTTTTCCACCTCTAAGTCCAATACAGAGCTTTTGATCAAGCCTGCAATGCAAGCATACGGTAGAATAATCAAAACAAACGGCTTGCTTTCTCCCGGCACATCTTCTATTGGTGACGACACCCTCGGGCGTTTTCGTGGCGATGACTCAGTTTCCGTAAGCGGTTGCGAACTTCGTTGTCTCGTATCTAAATTTAATAATTTAAAATATATGAGCTTAATTTTCGTATAAAATGCACAAATTCACCATCACGTAAGATTGGTTTAGTTTGTCCATCTCCCTTATTTCCTGCGACATCAAAAATTCTCGTTGCTTCCTTTCTTTTCCACAAAAATTCTTGTTGCATCTTCCTCATCGCCTTCCTCTTCTACATCATCCTCGTCAAAGTCATCCATTTCTAAATCTCCTTTTTCCAAATCGGCAAGATGTTTACGGCGTTCCAAATTAAAACAACCCAGCAAGATGAGTTTAGCAGATGTAGAATTGTGATGACACAGTTACACCTTCTCCGCAAGATTGAACTTTTTCTTTACTTTTCGAACTAGTTCAAGATATTTAGCGGCCTCTTTTCGTCCGAAATTCCGCATCTTTACATAACCGAAAGCGCAGCTGTATAGGTACCGTCTCTGATAGTTTACTAGTTGCATTACTTGCGAATGTCCTGTAGCAGAGATTTCGATGTAAGTTATGCTAAATTTGATATACCTGTCATATTTGCACAATCCTTTTTCATCTATTTTTTGCTGATAATCATGGTCCTACTGCAAATCTGCTATAGCATGCCTTGTCTGAAGCATAAAAAATCGCAAACGATAGAGAGCAGTTTGAGTACGAATTTGACGCAGACTCCGTGTTAGCAACATACCGTGTTACAAGAAAGGTTCAATCTTCAAATCCACTATCTCGCAAAAACTGTTTCGTTACATGAGGGACGGTCATCTTATGTACGCGCGTTCCGCTATATTGTAGAAAGAACGGTGCAAGTGGCTCCGTCATTCCTTCTAACTGCTGCTTTTCAATATTGCTGCAAGAAAGGACAAACAGCCTGCTAGTGTGTAAAAAGTATGCTTGATTTAATTTTAACTCACTGATTCCGTAATAACTTTATATAATAATCATCCATTTTTTCGACTCTTCATCATGAACAAATATTGTCCATAAAATGGAAGCTTTTGTTGTGCAGCCCTAGCTTTGTTTTTTGGGACAGGATAGCTGCTGATCTAAACATGTACGTAAATATTAGTCTATGCAGTAGATCAATGGTGCAACAACGGATGCACTCACCCAAAGCCTTTCTCCAATTTCATCCATGACGAACTCTTAGAGCCCTGTTCGCCCCATTCATTCACCGAAGTTACATCTTCTTCTTCGGACCAACAAGTACTTCCGTACATCATTCTGTAGATACACTCATTCCTGCTTGTATTGCAGTGTTGCACTAGAATTATGTTATCGTAAAAATCAGCGACGCAAAAGCGCACAAAGACAAACCCCATAACATAGTTGTATTGTGCTGGCCGCAAAGTCTTTTTTTGTTCAAAAATCTTCATTATTTTCTACAGTTTCTTCGACTCCTTTATGCTCAACCACAGCTCTAGCAACACAGTAAGGTTCACCTTTCTGCAAGTTATATGTATGAAATAACGTCACAAAAAGCAGATAAACTGACACACTTTTTTTCGCTGGGTGCAATACCCTGAAACGATAGCGCTTGCTTTTCTTCGACATTCAATCTCACTGTATAGTTCAGAAATAGTCTTTTGCCATGTTTTAAAACCTCGCGACGTTCACGACCGGCTACTGCAAACATGTCAAATCCTTGTAAATCGATAGCGAAGGCTTGTAAATGAATCAGTAACAAAATGCCCAAAGTATCAAAAGCATCGAGTCCGTCACTCACCTGGTTCAAGTCGTTGCTCTCTGAACTTATTGAAAGCAATAAGAGCTTTCTCATACTTTTACGAGAGCTTACACTAACCCTTCTGTTTTTAAGCGCCTCATATATGCCAAAAATTCGCACGAATAAATTGCATCGTCGACTGTTACTGTTTGGTTTATTCTGGAAATACGGAATGCCAAAAAAAGCTTCTTAGTCTGAGAAACAACGCACCGTTTTCGCGCTCTCATAGCTGCGAGCATAAACCGATTTATACAGGCCACATAACCCCATGTACCGTTTTTCAATAGATTGCCTTTCCTTGCCAAAGCATCCGGCTAAACAAAGACGAAATTTGAGTTAGCGCTTGTCCGTAAACATACCGACGGCTTCAACATAGTGTTTACCAGTGCTTCAGAAATATATTCTTCAAATTCTTTAAGCAACGGATGCTTCCTTCCATCCAATTTACGATAATACTTCAATTCGATTTCCACTTTTTCCTGCCATTCTGAATTATCAGGTGCAGTAATTTAATAGTCATGGCATAATCACGAGTAATAGTCAATGTTTACTTTTCTTTTGTTTCTTTGGCACAATGTAGTCCTTTTTGTAGTATCCCGGTGCTTGATCATCCATTTCATAACGGAAGATAAGTTCGACATTTGGTGCAGTTTCAAACTGACATTAACACTGTAACACTTAACACTTAACACTTTAACACTGTATCCACTGGTCCACCTATAACATTCATGTAAAAGTTATTCGTATGTGATTTTCTTAATTCCTTGAATTGCCTCTTGAATTTTAATTCAAATTTCAACCTTTGAAAGCCTCGTCTCCAAGCTGCGTGTAGCAAGTAGACGTTGTTGCTTTTGGCGTAGCCGTTCGTGAAGTACCTTGCTTCGCTGCTTTAGTAGCCTCGAAACTTTGTATAGCTTGAAACTTCGGTGTGGATTCAACTTGCATCACATCAATCGCACTACTCTCTCTTTCTAGGGCATCTTCTTCTTTGTGATCATAAGATGTACCAGGTTCTTCTCCACGCTGCATCGCATCTTTTATCTTTAGGTTGCGCCCCATCTGCAGAATATTTGTATAAATTATCACACGTATACAGAGTGTCCCAAAAAAAATGTGAACACTGTTTGATCGTTAATAACTCCATTGCTTTTATGTCTTTCGCCGAGCTTTAGGCACCATTTCGTAGACAGAGGTTCAACTTAAATTTACAGTATGAAGCAAAACTCCGATCTCCCTTCGCTACTGTTGGATTACGGTAGGAACTTCCAGCGTTTGAATCCACTGTGAAATATGCCATTTGATAAAATTTTTTCCAAAAAATCTGAAAAATCGTGTGCTAGGGTTTTCGCACACGCTGAATCCATTACACAACTTTTTACAAGAGTTTCTAGCTTTTTATGACGGGGTAATCACATTTTTGACAAATGCTGGGAATTCTGTTATTACGGTTTACCTGGGATAACTTCGGAAAGAAGCGTCACAGTACGGTGGAAATTTCATATTCGAACTCACCGGATTCATAGTATAGGAGCTTTTGGCTTTGTTTTGTTCCGAGGCAGAATATGGCCTCTAATGGCCTAAAATCCTCGTCAAAGTTTCTATCGTAATCCTACAGTAATGAAAAGCGATCGATGATTCGCTCCATACTATAAATCTGAGTTGAACCTCGCTCTACAGAATGGTGTCTCAAGCTCGGCGAAAGACATGAAAGCAAGGGAGTTATCAAAGATCAAACAGTGTTCACATTTTTTGGGACACCCTGTATATGTCAAGTATTTGTCGTTAAATATGCTTATTTCTTCGAGGTTTTCTTCTAGTCATTGCATGCCCACATTCATTTCAGCACTAAGAGCATATTTGCCCTGTATCGGTCACATGCGAGTGCTTCTTTTAATCGCTTGTATGTAATTAGCTTTGGAGATTTAGATAAAAAAAATCTCTTGACAGATTGTAACAAAAATTTTGTTAGTCCTTGAACCAGCCCGCAACTCGTGACTAAGTGTGTCCGTTGCTTGTGACCAAGTGTGTCGAACAACAATTTAACGATGCTTTCGGAGCTTTCAGATCATTTTGCCAGTCGACGTGGAGGAAGTCTTTGTTTAATCACGCAACAATCATTAAATTACCCCAGTCGCATTGCCATCAATTAAATTTTGCAATGCTCAAACCGAATTGAATTTTTGAAATATAGTGCTCAAGACTATTTTGTTACCGAAAAGTTAGATGTCAAAAAATCGTATGTTTTTCAAATAATGTATCGCAGATGCATGATAACATGCTGTGAATTTATGTCTAAACATGTAAATGCAAGCCCACGCTATAATCATCGTGCATGATGCTTGTTTTGAACTCACAGCAGACACGGTAAAACAAACCGGCTTTTTGCGCTACAAAAGCGAGCAGCAACTTCCTTTAATTCTCATAGTTTTCATTTCTATAGGGCCATTAGATCACATGCGTTTCTGTATGCTTCATAATTCGGAACTCCATTCTGATCATCTTCGTCTGTATATTTGGTTACGGAAAATGTTTCGTTAACGTCTTTCAACCAGATTTTTAGCCGATTATGATTTCTGAAGTGAATCGTTGATTTGATGACAATACTTTTATCCAGAGGAGTTAAGTGGTGTTTTTTTTAGTGACGCAAAGAATAATTATTGGATCATCTGTTTAGTGTCATTGACGATCATTCACGGCAAGCTCCTTAGCGATTGCTAATAGATTGCATCGAAAATTTGTTTCGATGACGTCTTAATCATTTTTGCTTCTCTACTGTACAGCACAGCATAATGTGTGCTCAAACCCTTTGCTATCACTTTGAAGGGCAGTAATCACATGAGATAAAGGTGAATTACTTTACTTTCAGGCCTTTGAAGAAGGCACTGATGCCGAAACGTTAAGCCGAATAAAGTATATATCTATCATACCTGTTTTGGAAAAGAAAGCTCTTAGATATACTGAACATGCCCAGGTTTTATGAACAGACAGCCTATGAGATACTTCGTGAAGTATAGCCACATTTGTTCTCATTAGTCAAAGAAATTCTAGCACTTCGCCAGAAAGTAACAGTCACGTGACAGCCTCTCATCTTCTTCAGAAGATGCCGTGCCATGACCATTGCTCCGAAATTCATCACAAACAATAGAGCAGGAGTTACATGCAACCTTCCCAGAAGATCATCCAAAAATTAAAAAGTTATACCAGAATGTCTCTGCCGTGGTTATCAAGCAGAAATAACATTTGTTATACTCCTCTCTACTCAAATATGAAACGAGGGAAGGAGCATGTAGACGATTAATGAACAACGAAAGCTGGAAGAGGATTAAGAGAAAGCCCAAGCAAATTTGCGCTGGTTTGCGGTCTAACATCAAATTTACACTTTATAAAAATTCGAGAGACTTTTGAATGAACAAAATAAAACCCACAAAACACGTTGCGCGCCTGCCACAGAATACAAGATCCGATCAATTATCAGGTGCATCAACGGCCCAATTGACAGGATATCATGGTTTCTCAACAAAACTGTCGGCCCACTTCTCGGAAAAATTCCCTAACATCTGATAAACACTAGACATTTCTTGACCGACTGCGACGTAAATTTTGACTAAAGTTGCATCATAGAGTCATTACACGTGTCGTCGTTGTACACCAATGTCTCCAACAGCGAAGCACTAGAGGGTCTTTCCGAGATGCTTGATGAGCACAGTGCAAGTATGTCGACGTATGGACTTAGTTAGACGCGACTCATAACTCTCGAAGGGGAGTGTCTCAAGTGCAATGTAACAAGTGGTCTGGAGACTTCTGTTCACAGGTAAGAGATGTCAATGGGTCAGCATTAGCGCCCGTGTTGCTAGATGCTTTGAGCAAAATAGAGAAGCCGGTGTTATCTAGAAACTACTTATGTAGTGCAGATACATAGACGGCCGTTGATTACATCAACTCAGTTCGAAATGGACTAGTGTTTTGTAGTATTAAATCAACAATCCCAGTACATAAAATTCACCAGAGAGAGACCAAACGAAGGTTGGTTGCCCTATCTCAACACACAACTGACCGTTGGCCGTTGGCACGATACATACATGGTAGCTGTAGACAGCTGTAAGAACATCCTTTTACATGCCAAGTCCGCCCACCCGATTGCCGTTAAGCGTGCTATCTTGCATAGTATATTCCAAACGGCGACTAACATCTGCAGTGGTGAGAGTGAACGACAGAAGTCTGGAGTGCTGGCGTCCGCGACAGCAGCCTCAAACGGCTACTGTTCGGCCAAATCTACACGTATTCGAAGGGCAACTGCACAATCTGATAACGATCTAACATAATTCCTCTCTGCTTACCATTCGTCTCAGACAGGGTAACACACGCACTACGAAGTCGTTAGATGCGAGCGCAGCTGAAACGTAATGTCGTTCTCGCCAATATACCGCGGAATAACATCAGAAATTAACTCATACGTCATAGATTATACGATATCGCCTGCGCGTTCAAATGCTGCGTTATTTGCCCTTACGGAAAACAGGGAGACTGTGTAAGAACTGGAGCAGTATACGGGCTTGAATGCTAGACTGCCACGCTACCTATATTGGCGAGAACGGGCGGCCACACTATGTACGCGTACACGAACATCTAACGAGTAAAAGGGAAAGCATAACAGCCCCGTTAGGAAAAAACAAGAAAGTTGATCACTGCGAAAATGTTTTCATGTTGGGTGTACAGTCTTAGCTTTAAGAGTAGAGTATTCGCTCGCAGAGAGTTGGCAGCGTCATTTATTCTATCAAGGGAACCCAAAATGAATGGCAAAAATGAACAATACTCCATCACAAGTGACCTCATGCTTCTACCGTAGTGCCAGCTATAACGCCCACATTATATAAGCAGATTCTTAGTAGGACTGCCTTCATACTTCCATCATCTGTACGTGAAGCTAAGCACTGCCATCGCAGCGTGTTGCAGGGCTTGGCAGGAGGTTGAATTCCGGGATTTCAAAAACGACATCCCCTTTGAAGCCCAAAATTTTTACGACTTTCTGATTGACCCCCTATTTTTGACGTCATTTTGTGACGGACAGGTACATGCAAACAAAAAGGACTCAGCGCTTATTTCAAACTTCAAAACACCTCACAAACTTCTCCTCTGACTTTGGCAAATTTTGGACTTTTCGCTTGCCCTGCTGTAACCATAACTTTGTTCAGTATGCTTTTCCAAATTCTACAACCTGCATAAATAAACATTAGATTCTATTCGAAAGAGCGTGATACCCAAAAAGCACAAAATTTCACAATGAAGCAGAAATTATCTTTGAAACTGTTCGTAATGTGACGAAAAGTGGAGACAGAGATAGATGAAAAGTGATATTACTTAATTCAATTCAACAAAAACACAATTCACTAGCATTGAGTTGGGGTAGCCCTAAAAAATAGAACGTCAACCAATGTAGCGTCGTTTAAGAGATCGGTACCGTCGCCTCTTTTTGAAAAGAAAACCGAGTCCACATGACTTAACATCGCTGGCTAAACAGCGGGAATTCATTGAAGTTAGTTTCTTGTATTCTCACATATCAGTTGAGGTCGAGTGCGGTGATCAGTGGTGTTCTAAAAACATGGTTGAAAAGACTTGTACTCAGGCCTCTTTGCGCTTTTTATTCTTTTGAAACTAACCTATGACATGCTTTGCCAAGATCTTTACTGGAAGAGTCACGACTGCGTAAACATGTAAGAGACATGACAGCAAACAATCATAAATCGTCCACTTGAAAGTAAGCAAGAGCCTGCAATAAGATTTCACATACTCCTATATCTTTGACACAGAAACAGAGAAAGAGATAGAGAGGAGAGAGAGAGAGAAAGGGAAGGAGTGGGAGGGAGGGAAAGAGAAACTCGTTTACTAAATTCTTGTGTAGAAAAAAAGAGGTATGGGCCACGTTATTTCACTCAACTCTAAATATTTGCTCCATTCCGTTACGTTTCATTACTGGAACACCACATCGTCGCTAGGGAGATAGATAGGTCTCAAGTGAGCTATCGCCCAAACAGCAGCTAAATCATTGGTTAGAAATTTTT